ATGACAATAGAACATCCTTCCTTCTTTGTCAATCTTTCAAAGACTGTATGAACACATGCTAAAGGTACAAATTCTCTAGTCTTCACTTGGTTGTTGTGATTATAAGATCGAGGTGGTGTAGCAGCAATCTTCAAAATGTCCTCCTCATCAAGAGTGGCGGACAGTGGATGAAACCTGCTTCCCTTCAAGAGGGGAGAGGTCTTAGGTAGTCTGACTTCTTCATTCTCATCCAAGGAAGCTGAGGTGGCAATCATCTCAGCTTCTTTCACTTTCCTGATTTTATCTAGCTTTCAGTTCTTGTTCCTCCTTTGTGTTCTAGTCAGAGGTGCAGACCTTGAACTGGATTCTATCTAGAACATAGAAGGCGATGTTAAGAACATCAACCTTTTCATAGTAACAGATTCGTCCATAATCCCCTTTCCTTAAACTTGAGCAGGAATAGTGACAAGTGAGGTGACTAAACTGATGGGAGTAGCAACAATGGTCTTGGAGGTATTTCTGGAAACTCTAGCAGACTTTGCAACAGTGACAATGTCTTTCCCAACTAATGCCCTCTTTAAGGGCGGGAACTCATGTGTTGACCTCAGATTATATTCTATTATTGGTTCTATTATTTCAGGAATCCTATTTCTTAACTCAACATCAGTGATGTCTCCAAATTTGATATCGGGGTTATCAAATCCTTGTTCAAAGTGAATGACAGTTTTATCAGGTAGCTCGCTCTTATTGACAGCAAGATCCATCCCAGTGGCAATGGCGAAGATCAATTTTGGTGAAGTCATTTTCTGTAATTTGAAAATTTTCCAGAAATTAGACTCATGATATCTACTGTCATTGCTGCAACAATTTAGGACGAATTTCTTAAACCAAACAAAGTTGTTTAACTGGGTATCTCTTTCAAGACTTATCCAAACAAATATTTTTTATATGTATTTTAAACTTTGGTTAGATATTTTAATTAGTTAAATCAAAAATATTATAAAGAAAGGTAGTAAGAGGTGTAGGACCCAGTCCGAGACAAGAGGAGGTAGATTTTGTATCAAGCTTCTTTCGGTACATCCCTCCTAAACTACCACACCTATTGGGGGTTCATCCCATTTTAGACCCATTCTGAAGGTCTAGGGATTCCAGAACCTCTCTATTTAAGAGTGATTAAATAGATGGCTCTAGAATCCAAATAGAGTTGGTTATACATGTTCAAGAAAGAAATGAGCAAGGTATGACAATGAAAGAATGATAGTCTGGTCCACTAGGGACATGGACACACTGTCGATGCTTGAAGACAAAACCTCATAATCAAAATGGAGAGAAGAATGAATCCCCAGCGGAGTCGCCAAAAACTATCGGCTATTTTATTTAAAAAAAGATTTTAAAATTTAAATTTAATACAATATATAATATAATTTTAATTTTGTGAAAATGTTGTTGTTTTATTATTTTTGGAATATGATGAGACTGAATAGACCTCATATATCTAATAGTTTAATAGCTGAGCACAGTACCATAAATGATCTCATCCTGAAAGATGAATATGTCACTTATTGGTAGGCTTGACTATCTAAACTTAAAAGTTTATGCCTCTATTTTGGTCAGTAAATTTTATAGCCGACAGATTTTCTTATCTAATACACAAATTAGATAGGGTTTAGATTAATCTAGGTTCTTAACTCCCTATAGGGACAATCCTCTATAGTTAATTATATCTTATACAATCAAAGTCACCTAAGAAAACTCTCGATTAAGATCAGGGTTTCGTCTTCAAGAATTCAACGTTTAGGTTTCCATGATTGCTGATAGGAAAAGTCAAGTGGGATTGGTTCAAGTAGGAACAGTTATTCCCTATATTTCTAGAATCCAAAAGAGCGAAGAGTAGGAGATGTCAAAGATACCAAATAAGATTAAGTGACATCTCAAACTAAACTATGGTTTGGTTTTACATCTATGAAAGAAATTATTTGATGTTTCAGTCCTGCAAGTTATTTAGATATTCGGGACTTGTATCTACATTTCATATGTAAATGGTTCAAGGAATTAGGAGGATTTATGTTGTACCGAACAACGACCTCAGAATCCTAAAAAAAAATTATGACTTATATCATATGATATAAAATCATTGAAAGTCTTAAAAAATAGTTAATGAGGTCTTACGTTGTGCCAGAAGAGCGAACTCGGCGTCCTATAGTTATGTTATTTAAATCTATCGAAGCTTGGTTGATGTTTCTATCTCCACCTTTTTTTGTAGTCCCAACTGCCTCTCGGAGATGAATCGTCTATCAACCACGTCGTTATCTCGTTCCAAGAAATGGATGAAGAAAAAAAAGAGAAAACCATGCCTCGAAACCATGCCTCGAATGGCCTATCCTAGGGGATTGTATGAACATACTAAAAGGTAGTAACTAAAAGCAAGAATATAAGTAAATGTATATACTATAGTGCAATAAAGAAAGAAAAAGAAGCAATGTAACAAAGTACGAAAAATAAAGGTACAAAGAAACATGTAGAAAGATACAATATAATATAAAAGAAAAGAAATTTACAGTAAAGAAAGAACTATGTAATAGGAAAAGTAAAGAAATTGAAACAACTAAAGGTGTACCAGGTTAATTCTGATGAAACTACAAACAAATTACAATTGCATAGTATAAAGGGATTAAATAAACATTTGCAGATTATAAAAAAAAAGTTAAATGATAAGCATATAAAAATTTAAGGTGGAATATATGATTTTAATTTAGGGTTTGGCTCAGACTAAACTTCTATTCTCTTTTATCTCGATCCCACAGGAAACTGATATTTCGAAGTCAACCCATCAATATCAACTAGAGGTCACCAACAAATCAACCATATAATCGGGCAGCCCTAGACCCTGTCATTCAATGGATGTGCAAATATAAATAGTATATAAACTCATCTTATTAAAGATATAAAGTACCTATGTAAGATAGTATCTGAACTTATCGAGGTGTAGTGCACCTATATGTGATGTTAGGATAAGTGATATGTAGTATCTTAACTTATCAATCAACAGTATACAGTGTGGCGATGCCTAATGAATGATATCTATTATGTAATACCTGTACTTTTAAAGGAAATATAATGTAGGGTGTGATGTGTCATATGTGACATGTTACAAATGTAGTATCTATCGTATGATGTGTAATATTTATTGTGTAGTGTCTATTGTGTATCATGGTATTTGTTGTGTAGTATCTAGACTTATCAGTTAAAGATATGTAGTGTTTGTTCTTTTCACAGGTGTAATATTTGTAGTATCTGTTCTTTTGTAACTACCAGTTCTCAAATCTTTTTTAAGAAGGGTCAGAGCTATCAACGACTTAAGGGAGTGAAAGGGCATCTCACTGATTGAATATTGATTTTTCATATTTTCAGCTACAAAAAGCTGATCAATGGTTCTTTGCATCATTGTCTGTCACCTTTCACCTCAAACTTATAAACCAGTTTAATATTACATATGCTCCTTTTTTTTAATGAGAATTTATTATTCAAATGAAGGAAGCAAAAAGTATAAATTCTCAAGATAAGCTTTCACAATTTCCAAATTCAAATCAGATGAATAAAGAAAACTTGCCATAGAGTTTTTTCTTACTAAAAGAAATTAACTGTAGCTCTCCAACAGATATCAAAAGGGGCACTACATTGTGGTCAATTCAGGCCAAAGAACTTGGCATTTCAATCTTCATAAAAATATTGAACAAATGGATATACCGTCTATTTATTCTTCATAAATAAGAAAAATGATTAGTAGAGAGGGTAGCAAGAGACAAATTCTCAACACAACATAGAAATCCATCCATCAATAAGAAAAATTGAGCTCAGCAGCAAAACAGATCCATCACCAAGCAAAACCGAGCCCAGCAAGAAGGGCAAAAATTAAGCCACCAAAAAGTAAATTACATAAAGCCTTAAAACTTAAAGTTAGTATCCAACATATATCCTGAATAGGGGCAGGTAACAGGAAGTAAGACTGAGCAGCTAAAACAAAATTTCAAGGGCCCCAAAGTCCAATAAAATCCACTTGTATATATTTCAAGTAGGGGAATAATAGGGAAGCATAAAATAAAGCCTCCCCAAGATACAATTTTTCAAAAGCTTCAATATCAAATCAGTTCAGCAAGGAATCTACAGCCTATAGGGCTAAAACAACTCAAAAATATTTTATGTAAAGCTCGGGTAGTAAAAAAAACCACCAGCTAATACGAAAAAAGAAAATGCCCAAATAAATGTTCTCCGGTGAAGCAGCAGGAGAATTAACCAAATTAACATAGATGAACCATCACAAAGCAGGTTTTGGGTAGAGCAATAATAAAACCTTCAAGTTAATAATAAAAGGAGCCCAAATAGGTGTTGTCGAGTAAAGTAGCAGGAGAAATAACCAAATTAACATAGGATAACCCCCACATAGCAGGTTTTGGGTAGAGCAACAAGGAAACCACCAAGTTGAGAACAAAAAGTGGCCAAATAGGTGTTCTTGAGTAAAGAAGTAGGAGAAATAACTAAATTAACATAGAACAACCCTCACATAGCAGGTTTCAAGTAGAGCAACAAGGAAACCACCAATTTGACAACAAAAAGTGGTCAAATAGGTGTTCTCAAGTGAACCAGCAGGCAATTCATCCCTTAAAAGGAAACTCTAAAGAAGTTGTTTCAAATTTTACGGATAACCACCTCTTCTCTTTTTTTATCTCAACAAATATATTCACAATGGAATGCAATGAGAAATTCAAGAATCATAACTTCTCATCTATGTACAATCAATAGAAAAGGTGATGAAGACAATCTTCTCTAAACATTACCAATTACAAGAATAATATCTCAAGCCCATACGAATCAAATTAATTCCATGTGATTAAACCAAATCTATTCTCAGGCCAAAATAAAGCAGGGCCTTTGATTTTTTTTTCAAGAATCAAAATGAATCCCATGCACTAGTTTCCCTGTATAGCTTCCCGGATGCTAACATCCCAAAAAAGTATACTATATGCTGAATGGTAGGAAAATAAAAAGTATGGAACAATAAACCATTGCAGTTTCACACTTAAACACGCTATTTCCCAGGATTCCATAACAAAATCAAAAGGCGAACACGTTTTCACTTGCCTTTTAGTGAAGAATCTTCTGGACATAAAATAGCATGTATGCCTGTGATGCTCGCACAGTATTCTCACTTACAAGAGTGATCCATGAATCATCACACTTATACCATTGATTATTTCGTCGCAAATATGTTGTGTAATGTCCAGATTCTAATTTTCCACTATGTGTTATTACTGCAAATATTTCAAACTCTGAAGCAAACTCCGTATCTGCATCTGTATCTCCATCATGAATACTAAAACGATTTCCAAACCTACTTCTTATAATTGAAGAAGAAAGGAAGGGCGACATGTCCAAGTAAAATGGGAATTGCACATAACGATCAATCTTCCTTGCCATTTTTCTCTGCAGGGAATGTTCAAACCTTTTAATGTGAAAGCAAGAAACCATAGGAAGTTTTCTTATAGATAACTGCTTTAGAGATTCTTGTTTCACTTGACAATGTTGACAAAATAATTTTTGATCAGAACCTAATCTCTCTGGCCTTGTAAAGCGCTCCAAACAGCCCAGGAGCGTAGACATGCCACACTTCTGAGTTAGGACAAAATAATCACTTCCTCCATGGCAGACATAAGGGCTTGAATTAGCTTTTGTTGGAGACTCATTGCTGCAATCTAAGTCCAATGAGATGTCCATGCAAGGGTCATATGTCGTTGATGTGTAGCCGCACATTGTACAAGTAACATCTGATCTCAATATACCGGAGAAAACCTTGTGTACAATGCAACAGTCTCCGCAGCCTGCTTTCACAGCAAAATATATTCATCTTTAAAAATTTTAGTCTTGTAAACACACGCAACATCGAGAAGATATGATGAAACTAGCAATAAATAGTGCAGTTTTCTAATCAAATGTGAGATATCCTTGAAACCATCCATCCGCAATGTCTATCTTCCTGTGCCACATCTTTTGTTGCCTCAAGGTCATGATGCATTCCCCTAAAAGAAAGGGATTGTCCCGACTACCTTCAATTACCTCCACATTGTTATTATTTGGAGTCTGATTGTGTTGATCAATTGATCACTTAGAGAGCCCTAACTATCGCCATTCATGCTTGGCAGGTAACTTTGCAGGGAGTAGGAAGGTGTCTCCCCTACATTTGGTTCGAGGTGCTGCCTCTAAAAAATTTTATTTCTTGTACAGAGGGCCATAGAGCCCCAGCACTTCGAACAGCACCACCCCAGCGCTCGGAAGGGGGCGCTGCTGCAACGCTCAATCCAGATCCAAGAACCTGAGTGCTCGACACTCCACGCCCCAAGGGGAGCGCCGAAGAGCCCAATCAAGTTCAGAAACCCGAGAGCATGACATTGCAAAACCCAAAGGTCAGCGCCCATAACCATATTTTTGTAATACTCTCATTTACATTTCAATTTTGCAAATTGGATGTGAGCATATTAACGACGAGATTTCAATTACTCTTGCATAAGAGAGGGAGTGTTCTTGAGTTCCAATATATGAAGAAGCTTAAGCGTAGTGTAATTTACGCTATTCTCCTCGTTTTCTTTATAGTGAATTTCTTGGTGTGATATAGCTCTGTAGTTTTTTCCCGTTCTCAAGTTGTTTCATATTAAATTTTGATGTTCATTGTATTTTTGTGATTTCTTACTTTGTGCGCTCTTGTTCTAAGTTTTATTTTGAATCTCTCGAGTTGATTTCCACGTCTCTCCTAACAAGTGGTATGGGAGCGGGATTTTCTAAAGATCTATAGTTCAAGTGGGAGGAAAGGCTGACAAAAAACTTCAATAGTTCGAACTTTCCTATTTGAAAAATGCAAATTGAAGATTTGTTAAATCAAAATAAACTATACTTACCACTAGTTGGAATCGATGAATCTGGAAGAATGAGAAGTTCTTAATCGAACAGCACAAGGTTTAATCCGACTTTCGCTTTCCTCATATGTTATTTTCAACTTTGTAAATCAGAAGAATATTGTTGATCTCATGGTGGCACTAATAAGAATAAATGAGAAACTTTCAACTTCAAACAAAGTATTTCTAATGAAGAGATTGCTCAATATGAAGTTCGTGGATAGTAGTCCAGTGGCTAAAAACTTGAATAACTTCAAAACTGTGATAAACCAGCTGTCTTCTGTTGGAATCAAGTTTGATGATGAGATAAGAGCATTGTTACTCTTATCTTCATTGTTAGATAGCTGGGATAGACAAGTTATTGTGATGAGTAACTCTTCAACTAACATAAAGCTAAATTTTGATGATGTTGTCGGGTTAGTGCTTAATAAGGAAGTTCACAAGAAGGCGAGCGGTGATAATTTAAAATTATACTTTAAATGTTGAAACTAGAATAATGAATCTAGATAGAAACACAAGCAAAGATAGATTCAAGATCAAAAGAGAAAAGTCCAGGTCGGGAAGAGGAAAAGGAAGAAGTTAATGTTGGAACGTGGGAAGAAATCCACTCTAAACGAACTGCAAAACTCCGAAGATGGTTGGCAGAGAAGTTCTAGATAGAAAACTTTCTATAAATATCTCCACAGATGAAATTCAAAGTGACTCCCATATTTTATCCCTAGATAGTATTGAATGGAAAGTAAAGTCATGTGCCTCTTTTTATGTTTACCCCAACAAGGAGGCGTTCAAAAACTACACTGAATGTGATCTAAAGAAAGTATATTTGAGAGGTAACGAGACCCACAATATTATTGGAAAGTGCGATGTTGACATGTAGTTATCTATGGATCAGTGTGGAAACTAATGTCTGTTAAGCATGTTCAATTTTTGAAGAGAAATTCGATTTATTTCAATCAGCTTGCAAAGAAAAGATATGTGATTACTCGCACAGGTGAATTGTGGAAGTTGACTAAAAGGGTAATGATGATGACTCGAGACAACATTGAAGATACCATTTATTTGATCAATGTGAAGTTTAAATACATTAAAGTAGCTAGAATAAGGATTGATGCAAATCTTTAGCACAGCATGGTTCACCATATAACTGATAAATGTATGAAGTCGCTTCCTTTTAAAAATAAACTTCAGAATATGAAGTCTATAGACTGAAATTTTTGGGAAGCTTGTATTTACGACAAGCAAAAGTATGTTAATTTCCCTAAAAAGGTGGAGTTAGTGTATACTGATATATAAAATTCTACTCTAATTCAGTCTTATAATAACGATAAGTTAATTAAATTAAGTAAATAAATAATAGAAAATACTGACAATATTAATGATAATGAAACATCTCTATAATTTTGACTTCAGAGTTGCATGCCCTTTTCAAACAAACCAACAAAGAGAGAACGAGAGAAAGAATACGAAGATCGAGAGTGGAAAACACAAAAGGAGAAGCAATGGCAAAAGGAGAAGAAAAAGAAAATAAGGAAAAATTTACAATGTGCATCCGTAGAAGTTTCGACGTTTGCATTGCCAGAGGAGCAACATCACGTCGAACCCTAGCCAAAGGGAAGGAAGAGGGAGGGGATCGGTTTTGTGCGTGAAGAGCAGAACCAACCATTACCAATCCTAGTCAAATGGCTCTCGGTCAAAGTAGGAGCTTATGGGTTTGAGTAGAGGAAAAGCTTGCAGGTTCGAGCAGAGGATGCAAAGCTTTCGTGCTAGAGGAAAGGAAAACCTCTGTCGAGCCAGTATAGAAGTAAAAAAGGAAGAAGGGAGGCAGCAAAGCTCGCCCACGTTGTGACACGGGAGCTTTTCCCAGGACGCGGCACTGTAGCAGCTAAAGTGTCGCAGACACGGTATTGTAGCTGTTACATCACCGCGGCCCAAATTTCTTCCGCTTTCCTTTTTCGTTTCCCTATCTCTTTCTTTCCTTTTCTATGATTCTCCTATTTTATTGCTTACCTATTTTATGTCTATCATTTCTATTTCTTTCTTTTTCCATAAAATCTCCTATTATAAATCATTTTCTATTATATTACTGCATTTGTATTTTATTTCCTAATTGGCATTTTTTAATATAAGTCCTAATCCCTCTTATATATAGGGGTTATTTTTGTTTAGGAAAGGAGATTTGGATCAGTGCAAATTTCTGAGTGTTACTTTCGAGTCATTCTTCCCATCTAAGGGCTGTATCCGACGGTGAAAATGTACTCTGGCTGTAAGTCGTTCGAGGTGATAACTGTCTCCAAGGGTTCGAGTGGTGTTTCGGCAAAAGCTCGACCCCAAAGAGATTTTATTTTTCTACAACCCTTATTAGAGTCTGTGTTGTGTCTTTATGTTTGTTTTGTTATTTTATTGTTGTTTATTTCTTGTTTTGACTAGTCCTGTTGTAATATTTGAATTTCAGCAATAATATTATTATTTTTGTTACAGTTTGGGTTTCCTCCGGCATAACTTGGTATCCACGACAGCCCAACCTTAGTCTTATCCTAAGGTTCTCTAGATCCGCCCCTTCCCGAACAACCCCCACCAAAACTTTTCTACACTAAAGGCTTTGACAAATGAGGTCAAAGCTTCCCCAATCCTAGGAGATTAACGTGGGAGATTTTTCCCAGTCGCAACACTGTAACAGCTACAGTTCCGCGAACGTGGTACTGTAGCTGTTACAGTACTACGGCCCAAAATTCCTCTCCTTCTCTTTCTCGTTTCCCTTTTTCTTCCTTTCCCTTTATATGATTCTTCTATTTTATTTCCTGCCTATTTTATGCATGTCTTTTCTATTTCTTTCCTTTTCCATGAGACCACCTATTATAAATCCTTCTTTATTATATAACTTCTTTTTTTATTCTATTTCCTAATTGAAAGTATTGTTTAATATAAGCCCAAATCCCTATATATAGAGGTTGTTTTAGCTTAGAAAAGGAGATTTGAATGGTAGATTTCTAAGTGCTACCTTTGAGGCATTTTTCCCTCCGCGAACTATATCTGATACGAGAAGATGCTCCGGCTGTAACTCGTCTGAGGTGGTGACCGTCTCTAAGGGTTCGAGTGCTTCTCCGACTGTAGCTCGATCTCGAAGAGACATTTTATTTTTTGCAGCTTTTTTTTTTTTTTTTTTTTTTTTTTTTTATTGTTATTTAATTCCTATTTTTTTTTTTTATTTTTTTTTTTTTTTTTTGTTCTCTTGTTTTGTTTGTTTTTATGTTTTATTGTTGATGATATGAGTGGAACAATTTATGTATTTTGTTTGTGAACCTATTAAACTAATATATGTAATAGTAAATTGTGGATTTTTATTTTTCAGCATTTTTAGTTGCATTTTTAGTTGCTTTATTTTTAGTTGCTTTAGTTTACTGTTTGTCTTTAATTTATCTTTTCTTAGCAAATTCTTTGATATATTATGTCATTTAATGCTTTAAAGCCTGTACTTTTTAACTTAGCACCTGCAAAATATCAAAAGTTAAGTTTCATACTCAGAATCTTCTACAGGTTAATTTTATTTTTATGCATTTACTGTTTTCTTTCACCTGCAAATTTCTTTCACCTGTGCAAATTTTTTGTACTACATACTTATTATTTAAAAACTTAAGTTTGGGGGAAAGAAAAACACTTAATCTTAACATGCAAAACACTTAATCTTAACATCTCATATTTTTACATGTAAGACACTTAGTTCAATGTGTAGTTTGCTTATGTGAAGGAACTTCTCATGTGTTGGTCGTGTATAATGCGTAGGCATGAAATGTTCATATGCTTAGGATTAGTTATTTGCAAGTTTAGGTGTTAATGATATGTTACTTGCAAACTTATTTGGTTGAGCTATGTTAATTTACAAATTAAATAATCAAGCCTAAATTGGTTCTAAAATAAAAAATAAAAAAAATTTC